GGGCTTTAAGGTCCCTTCAACCCAAACCTTCTGTGATTCTATGAAATCACACCTGGGAAAACTTCCCACTCCAACAGATTATTTACCAGTCAAGCAGAAGACACACGGATGTGCAGACACACAGACAGCTTCCTGCCAGAGCTGCAGAGCTGCCCAAACTCTGAGTGCCCTCTGCACACTCCTGCCTCTCCATCAGCACACACAGCATCAAATCCTTAAATTATCCTGCATTTGGCAGTGCTGCTGATGTTGTAGGAGGCTGAATGGAATCCAATTGCTCAAACTGAGACTGCAAGGCCAACAATACCAACTGACAATGGAAGCAATCTGACAATAACTGGAGAACACACAGGGAAAAGACACCTTACAGAAAGAGCTGCTTGCCATTTAACCTCATTTCACACCTACTATGGAAATCTGTTTGATGCCTTTCACTCCTGTGATTGGGTCTTAATTTGTTAAGTCTCCCTCTTGGCCTTCTAATCAAACCAGACATCGCAGCTCCCTGCCTGCTGCTGACTTAGGTGACTGCACAGCAGAAGGATGCTCTGTGCAGGCTCTTTTAGAAACAGCCAGCTTCAGCACCACTGTTACTGTTTTCACTTGCACAGCCCATTCCTTGGAAGCATTTTTTCATCTTCCATGGTAAGGAAATTTCACCAGAATTTATCAAGAGACAGCTAAAAAATTCTGTGAACCCAATTAATTTTATTTATAAGGTTGCAATTCTTGGTAAGCAGCTGCGGAGATATTCAAAGCCCTACAGAACTGATAGAAACCTCTTCAGAACATCCAAGAGGAAAAAAGGATCAATGTGTCTCCTCTAAGAAAAGCTTCTAGTAGAAAAAAGGGAAGGGAGTCCTGGAGGAGTGGCAGAAAGGTACTACCAGACTTTTAATCCTTGTTAACCTCCTCATCTCCCTCTCAGCCCCACACACAGGTTTGGGAGGTGAGAGCTGCTCAGGACTCCAACATTCCAGCCCTTTCCTTTTTACCTGTCTGCGACTTGGTGGTGGCCACATAGCTCTGGTTCTGAGGTAGTGACTGGTGAAGGCCCGGGAGAGAGGGCAACGACAACGGCTTCACAAAGTCCAGCATGTTCTCAAACTCCTTCTCCTTGGATTCCTTCTGATCTCTGCTGTCTCTCCCATCTTTGGGGTCTTTACTTACATGCTGGAAAACAAAAGGCAGTTAAATTGAGTTTTTACATCGGATAAGTAATTTTAAAAAATTAGGAAATTAATATAATTCCTTTCTCTCGACCAAAATGCCTTTCATCTGAAGGCAGGACCACATTCCCAGCAGGAGCACAGAGCCCCTCCTCCAGCACGTCAGGGGGCTTTGCCCAAACACCCCCAGCCTGACTCCCCCAGGGCTGAAGGCTGTGCAGGTGACAGGTGACCTCACAGAGGCAGTGACAAGGAGCAGACCCTGCCCACACAGCTCTGGCTGCCTCTGGAGAAGAGGATCCAACTCAACCACAGCACTTATTCCCTGTCACACCAAGCACGCTCAGCAACACTCCTGCAGAGCTGCTCTAGAGGAGCAGGCAGCAAAGGAAATGGATTTTCATTTTGGACAGCATTTGGCACCACAGAACCTCAGCAAAGGCTCCCCCTTCCAGCCCAGCACACAACAACCACAGCCAAAGCAGCTCTTTCCTTGACACTGAGGTGCACCCACAGAGAGCTGTCCAGGCTTCCCTTAACCCCCTATTCCCACTCCAGCTGCTGCTATTCCAGGCCCCAGGCAGGCTCCAGGCTCCTACTGCAAACCAAGGGAATTTTGTAGTCGCTCTTGCAGCCCCTCCCAGGCACCACAGCCACTCACACCTGCTCTGACTTGAGCCTGTTCCCAAGACAAAGTCAAATCCTGCACCTCTGCTTATGAAGGAAGGGTTCCTACAGCTCACAGAGAATCATCTAGGTTGGACAAGGCCTTTAAGGTCACCAAGTCCAACCATTAACCCAGCAGTACCAAGTCCACCACTCAGCCATGTCCCTGAGTGCCATTTCTCAGCTTTTGATGTTATTTCAATGTTTTCCTCCTCTAATTTAGGAAACAATCCCCTTCCTGTGTGTCTAACTCCATTTTATATACTCTAAAATCCTCAGACAGAGAAGTCCAGACTGTGCTTGTGTTTCCTTTTCCCATCTGTGTTTATTCTTTAAACAGCCATGGCCTGGTTTGATGGTGCTTTTATTCCTGTGCCTTTTGTGTCAAGTGTGGCAAAGGGAAGCCAAGGTCAGGGCAAGGCCCCTTAGTCCAGTTCACTGAAACATTTTCCTGTCACAGCCCAGCAAGGAGGTACCTGGTGAGACAAGGAAACACATGGAGGAACATGAAACAAAGTCTCTGCTTGTTCTTCTCTCCCACAGGGCCAGCAGACATTGGGGTGAAAGCTGCCTCTGCTGTGCCATTTTACACTGGATTTGCCCTCTGATTTATCCCAATGCATCCAGCTGTACAGCAGGCAGGTCTGGCAGAGCTGCTCCAGCAAAACATGAGACCAAGCAGCAGAACACAGGGAAAGACTGGGAGAATTTGGATTGCTCAGCCTGGAAAAGAGAAGGCTCTGGGGAGACCCCATAGTGGCCTTCCAGTACCTGAAGGAGCTACAAGAAAGAGAGAAACTCTTCACAAGGGCACAGAGTGCCAGAACAAGGGGGAATGGCTTCACACTGAAAAAGAGTGATGGGCTTAGATGGGATATTGGGAATTAGGAATCCTGGCAGGGTGGCAGGCCCTGGCACAGGTGCCCAGAGCAGCTGTGGCTGCCCCTGGATCCCTGGCAGCGCCCAAGGCCAGGCTGGACAGGGCTGGGAGCAGCCTGGGACAGTGGCAGGGGTGGCACTGGATGATCTTTAAGGCCCCTTCCAGCCCAAAGCATTCCATGACTCTAAGGTTTAAGTGCTGCTCTACTTGAAGGAGAGCTCTTCTTTACAGGACTTGTGAAGCAACAGCTGAAAAACCCAAACAGAAAGAGGAATGCAGGCGGAAGCAAGGCTGGAATAAAAAGCAGGAAGCAATAAAAGCACTCAGGTTCAGACAGGCAGCCCAGCCACTGCTCTCCAGCAATGTGACCTTGGGAACAAACAGGGAAGAGGCTGATTCCCCTAATTAGGCTGTGCCACGTGTGTGGTGCTGGCAGAGCCAGCCCCAGCAAAGCCCTAATGATAATCAGAAATGACCCACAGCAAAAGGCCATCAAAGTGCCAATGATTCCTGCATCAAGCCCATAACTTATGGCTCAATTGCCACAGCTTTTCTAAAAGGGCAGCAAGTCTTGGATTAACGATTTCAAAGACGACAAATCCACCACAGCCTTTGATATGTTGTTCCAATGCTTAATTGCTCTCACTGTCAAATAATTAAATGCATTATGTTTTTGCAACTAAATTAAAAAGCCCTGTCTCATCAGAACCTCTCACTCCCAGGAGATACTTATGGAGTATGACCAACTTCTTTTTTTCTTTTTTAAACTTTTTCTTCAATAATTTTAATAGAATGAGCAAATGAAGTGGCCATAGGATCATATTCTGGATCACTCCCGAGTCTGCTCCCAGTTGTTCTACCCCTTAAAAATGCACGTCAGGAGTGCAGGACACAGTATGCCAAGAATAGTCTCAACAATACTATTTATACCTCTTAAAAGTCCTGAGTTTATAGATCTAAAGGTTAACAGTAACTCTTGGCTACACAATTATTCTGAGAATTCCCAAGTCCCCTGATATATCCAATGCTTTCCAATTCTAACTTAAAATTAGGAAAATGAGCTTGGGACAGGCAGGTCTGGCACAAGTGTAAACAAAGGCTGCATTTTGTGTCCTTTAAGTGCAGTTTTTTTCAACTGGTCTCTGATAAAAGGTGTTGTCACTCCCAAACACCAGGAATTCACACTTGGGTCATGCCAGGCTGTGTGGAAGAATACAATCCAATTTTTAAATCTAAAAGTATTATGCTATTAGCTTGGGGTTTGTCTCAGTCTCTATAATTACAACACAGAAATAAATTCAAAATCTTCAACAGGCTGCATGACAACAGCTAAATGTGACTTTTTCATGGCAATTCTGCTAAAATTTTTTTTAAATAAAATTAAGTCTCGTGCTATAAAGATTTACTTGGAGGCATATGCAGCAATGGTAAAAAACAAGAATTCCCAGAAAGGGGTGAAGAGCTTTCTTGTGTTTATAAAACGATTACATCTAAGGATTGTAATAAAAAGGATCAGCAAAAAAATTTTAAGTCAGTTTTCTCACCACCTTTCCTGGTTCTCAGCTACATAAAACATCTTTGCTATTAAACAGGTTTTGTCCACAGTTTGAGAGAAGTACTGAGAGCAGAATGCCATGCAAAGGAAACTCCAGGATGCAGTTTGAGCTCCCTGTGGCCACATGTTATGGGCCACTGGAGGCCAAGAAAGGACTGCAAATGAGAGAGAAAAAGGAACTGCAACACCAACATTTTCCTTCTTGCAGCTTCTCAGGTGCTATCAGCTCATCCTATGCAAAAGACTGGAAAGTCACAACTTCATGTAGGGAATAGTGAAGAAGGTGGGCAGATATTCCAACATTTCTAGTAATGGCTATGCCTGGAAACAGCAAAAATGGGACCACAACTATGTCTAACCCCACTGTGAGAAATACAGCCAAGAAAACTGCTTAGACTGGGGCAAGAACATGATATTTGATGTGTTTACAAAAATTAAAACTCAAGTGCTGTCTACATCTTAATGTCATCGACCACATTTCTATAATTGGCACAGAAGTCCCCCACAGCAGCAGGGAGAAGTTATTAAAATGGCAAAAGACAGAATATCCTCAGTTATTTTGGATTTTTCCCTGAAAGCAAAACTACAGAACAAACTAACAGACCCTTGTGTTGGCTGTATAAACTCCACATGACATTTTTCCCACTGCCCAGCATTTAAAGGGTTTTTCCATCACTAAAACCAGCAAGCTGGGAGAGAAACCAGAGTGTTGGTGGAAGGACACAGGCACAGGTCCTGCCTGGGAGCAGGGCAGCTCTAAGAGCTCTGCAGAAGGGCTCTTGATGCCTGAAACCACCTCAGGCTTGGATTATGGGCTCTCTTAGTTATCTGCTGGGCAGGACTTTCATCTCCAGCACACAAGGAGCTGCAAACCAGAGCCAGCTGGGCAGGAGGGGTGAGCTGAGAGCACTGCCACAGGGCAGCTGCCAGGGAGCAGCTCTGCCTCTCCATCCATCAGGAGCAGGGTCAGGAGGTTCGTACCAAGGTGCTGCCTTTGAAGAGCACAAAACAGCAGCTCCCAGGGGCATCTGCCTCTAACAACTGGTGAGTGGTAGTTAAGCAAGAAATGTCAGTCTGTTATAAAAAATTGATCACAAGCAGATGATAGTGTCTGTAGGAGCTGTGGTGGTGCTGCTCTGCCTTTTCTCTGCTGCTGCAGGATTGTGGTTTTCACTGCTGAATTTCAGGAGCCTAATCAAGCCTCAGCTTGGAGCAACAAACCTGCAAGGCTTGGTCTTAGTCTAGACCAGACCAGCTGCATGGCTGAGCCACCTTTCAACTGCTGATTAATATGTGCCCAGTAGAGGGGGGATTCCACAGTGGCTTGATTGCAATTGCACTGATGTGAATGCAGTCACATATCTACATAAAACTGTGATTTAGGCAGCCAGGTAGACTGAGCTGAACTGTAGATGTGGCCCCAAACCTGCACTAATCGTGTTTCTGAAGCAGAGCACTCAGGGTGTGGATCTCATCCCTGTCCCCTCCTGCACCAAACTGCCCCAAGGCAAGGGAGCATCACACATCAGTCAAAACGAAAGAGGGGAGCCCAGAGCAGATGTGCCACCAGGGCTCCTGACTTTAACCAACCCCTCTGCTGGGGCCAGGGCTGTTATTTCTGTGGGCTGTGGTCAGAGCTGGGGCAGCACCTCCAGCCAGCACAGCCGCCTCCAGCACCAGCAGTTAAATATCAGGTTAAATGTACTGCACGACAGCCTTCACTCTCACTTCCCTCTGCAGCAACCCAAAGGCAGCACTGTCACTCCTGAAGGAGATTTCCCACCAGGGAAGATGGGGCAGGGTGTGGAGGGGCCCGTGAGGAGCAGCTGAGGGCACTGGGATGGTTCAGCTGGGGCAGGCTGAGGGCAGAGCTCCCCGGGGCTGCAGCTCCTCCCTGGGGCAGCTCCAGCTCTGCCCTGGGACAGGGACAGGAGCCAGGGCACGGCTGGAGCTGGGCCAGGGCAGCTCAGGCTGGAGAGCAGGAAAGGTTCTTCCCCCAGAGGTGCTGGCACTGCCCAGGCTGCCCAGGGAATGGGCACGGCCCCGAGGCTGCCAGAGCTCCAGGAGCCTTTGGCCAGCGCTGCCAGGGATGCCCAGGGTGGGATTTTGGGGGTCTGGGCAGGGACAGGGGCTGCACTGGGTGATCTTGGTCAGTCCCTCCAGCTCAGGATATTCTGTGATTCCATATTTAACTCTGCCCAAGTTCACACACACAGACTTCACTTTCAGCCCAGTGGAGCACACCTCCTGGATGGACCTTCTAAGGCCTCCCCAAGGACACAATATCCCCATTACCATCACCCCCATCAGGCCCTGCCCCTTTGCTTATGTTTCCTGCACATGGGAGGGTCAGAGCTTGCTGAGCTATCCCAGACCCCTGCAATACCCTGGCTGCCACCTGCATGGCCCCAAGAGATGGCCACAGGCTGTTCCCTAAGCCAGAGGCTCCTGCAGAGCAGCCCCAGCCCAGGCCAGCACAGCAGCACCACAAAGGAGGCAGTTTAAAAGCTCTGGGATCAGGTATTTAATGGCAATGCTACTTAAGGGAATAGTTTAATGAAATTGGTAGAAAGACCAACATAAGGAAAGCATCTCCTGCTCCAAGCTCTTCCTCCCTGCCCACATTGCCTCCCCCAGTTAAACTGGCACCTGGCATTTTGGGGACACACTGTGAATCAGGCCAAAACACTCATTTAAAGGATTTTTGCACTATTTCCTGACCCAGTCCTCTGCACAGCAGAAAAAAAATACCACCAAAGACACACACCCCAAACTCCAGCCTTGTGGTCACCAAGGAAAGGAAACACAACTTGGGACTTCCAATTCATCCATCTGCTCCTCCTGTCTCCAAAGGTAACTCTGGGATGCTCTCACTACCTTTACCATCCTTTATCCTTATGTTTTACTGAAGTTAAGCTCAGCACAGGACACACATACAGACACACACTTGCCTTTCAGTCTGCTGCCTGGCCCTGGAAACTTTCAGGTTCTTAACAGGGCTGTAAAATGGATTAGGAGTGAAAGAAAGTTTCTTCCAAAAGGGCAGTGCTTGTGTTACTGCTCTATTCAGAAGGGGAGCAGGAATGATGCTCTCTGTTCAAAAATCACCTTAACATGCGACAACATCAATTAAAATTGTCACCTGTTTCAGATTCAGCTTCGATCCCAATTCAGGAAGCAACTCCTAAACAGAGAAAAAGCTGGTTAAATTGGTGAGAAAAGTCTCTTCTTCCTTTCAGAGACCAATTCACATGTGCAGGAAAAGGTTACCACGGTCCCCTGACAGCTATTGGATTACAGAAAACAATTTTTTGGCCCCAGTGGGTTTCTGCAGGAGCCAGGGGGAACAAATGTTCACACTTTGCAGGCAGCAAAATACCTTTTTCCCCTCCTCCTCCCAAGCAGAACAGTTCTGCAAGAATAGTTTCACCAAGAAAACAACAATGCCCTAAAAAATATTAGCCAAGCAAACTACTGTGTCCTGTAATATCAGTTCCTGGGTGATTTCCACAATTTATTTCCTGGGATACAGCACCTGATTTCATGGAGGCTTTGAAGGGGAAAAAGTGTGAAGGTTGGTACAGGAAAAGCTCCTGAGCTGAGGAGCCTCCTCTAAGCAACTCAACAAAGAAATAATTGGGACAGAAAAATGACAGCTAGCAAGGACTCTGCTGCTCCAAAGAAAATAGCATGTAAATTCCAGAGACAATGGGGGAAAATGAGATAGTAATTATCAGGAAGGCTGAACACACAGATGTTTTATTGTCTTGTAGAACTGAGATCAAATCTTGGGTTCCCATTCAGCTGCAGAGGCTTGAGCAGAGAACATGGGAACAGCCTCTCCTCACCACCCTTCCTGGGAACGTTGCTTCTCTCCCTATTTTAAGCCCAAGGCAAATGCCCAGAGGAGCTGAGGACAGGCTATGTACTTTCTAGAGCAGCCCAACAAGTGCAGGCTTTGCTTTTTTGAAGCTGCTTTTGTGGTGTGAGCAGCCCCATCCCAGTGAGCTGTGTCCCAGCACTCCCAAACACCACACGCCACTTCCCAGAGACAAACCTCGAAGCCCAAGGGGTTGAATACAAATATTCTTCTGATGTATCATAAAATATGAATGAGGGAAGCACTCCCTCCCCACCTAGCAGCCGCCTTTTAGGAGGGAATTGCCTCCTTCAATTGCTCAGCCCCACGGGATCTCTCTCTGATAAATTCCATCAGGGTCTGGGGGTTTGCCTGGCCTAATTCCAGTGCAGAACTGGGGGCTGGAGGCAGTTTGGGCTGCCAAGCTTTCCTTGGTAAGAGACACCCTGATGGGAGATTGATGGCAGCTGGGCTTCCCTGTGCAAGCCAGGAAACACAGCTGGGGTGAGAGCAGAGAATTCAAACACAGCCAGGGCAAGGCAGAGGGGAAATGAGTGGTTAGGGGGGCTGGCTGGAAATCCTGGCAGGCAGCTGTGGCTTCTGCCCCTCTCCCCAGCCTGGTGCCCACAGTCTGTGATCCTGCTGTGCTCTCTGCACTCCCAGCTGCTTCCCGAGGCACAGGTGGTGCTGCAGCCACGGGACCTTCCCCCATGTGGGCCTGCTGAGGTGCCACCCTCTCTTTTCCCTTTTTTCTCTCTCTTTCCCTGCTCCAGACCACAGGGACTCCCAGCTTCGAGCCCTTCACCCCTCACCACTGCTATGCTGAAATGAGGGGGACATCTGAGGGTCCCTGTGGATCTGCTGAATCACAGCACCAATGCATTGCACTGACCTTGACAAGGCTGCAGCAGCTTCCATGCATTTCTGGGAACCCTTCCCTTGACCTAAAGGCCAGTGTCCCTCCACCCTCGGACACACAATGAGAGGATACAGCTCACTGTAGTCATATAAAGCATCACAGGAATGAAAACCAGCTGCTTACAGTGGAGATCTGCCTGTTGCAGGATCTATTCCCTACCTCTGCCAAAGAACCAAAAAATAACCAAACTTTTCCCATGACAAGGAAAAGCCCATTTCTGCCCTCCCCACTACGACATGAATGCACCAAATGACATCTCGTTATGCCTCCAAAAAAAAAGCAGGGCTCTGTTCTATTAAGTGATGGTAAACCCACCCTAAGGATTCTGGAGACAACATTTCCCAATGACATAAAGTGAAAACATCACCTGTTTTAGCCCTGTAATGATTCTCACAGCAATGCAATCAAGCTGCCTCACAAATCAGCAGCTCCTTGACAGCTTCTGAGCTTAGGAGGAGCCTCAACTTTACATGCTATGCTTAATTTCCTTTGGGTTGACCTTAGGAGAAATCTAATTTGTTTCACAAGCAGCTCTGGTTGTCAGCAGAGGCTGATGAGCAATAGAGCCATGAGAGAAAGGCCATTTAGTGTCTCACACAGATCTGTTGGAGGAGCCAATTGATCAATTATATATTTAGAAACACACTGAGGACGAGAGCTGATGGTGGCCATGTGACCAACTATTTTAACACCTCTGTCCGTAGGAAGAGAAAAAAATAAAAATAAACACACACACACATATATATATAAAAAAAGAAAAAATAATAAAAACACCAATCCACTCAGCAGGCAAGCTCTAAACACCACGTGTTGCCATGCAGCCAGGTATCCCTCAGACCCCCAGAGCAAGCCCAGCAGCAGCTCCGTGCTGGGCAGGTACATTACCAGGCTGGGGGTGGGCTTAGGCATTGTCTTCCGTGCTCGGTGGACCTTGACTTCAGCGTTAGCAGCAGGGGCTTTTTTAGCATCCGTGTCCTTACTGCCCTCCCCGAGCTTGCTTGGCATGGTGGCTTGGAGCTGGGCAAAGGACCCCACAGTCCTGCCTTTGCCTGCTCCTCCTGGCAGGGTTTTTGCAGCATGGCCAGTGAGAGAAGCAAAGCTGGTAGTCCTTAGAGGCTGCTCCTGTGCCATCTGCTTGGTTAGGATATATCCATTGCTCCCTGTGACAGAAGTCTGTGTGAAGTCATTTGCTTTCAGATGGTTTTGCTTCCCAGGCTCGCTGTCCGAAATGCCATTTTCTGCTATCCTATTTAATTTAGTAGTAGAGTCCTGCTGGCTCACTTTTGTGTTGTCCTGAGTGTTTTTCGCTGGGTTTGGGTGGGCCCCACCCTCGCTGTGCTCACAGGAACCATTGGTTTCACCATCTACTGCCATTTTTGGTTCCCCCACTTGCTTTTCTGTAGCGCTTTCATCTGCAGCCATGGCATTAAACCCTGGAGGGAGAGGAAGAGAGGAGAAAAGGGTCACAAGTGGTGTTGAAACTCCCAAGGTGTACTCCAAGTGCAGCTACTCACAGTGTAAGAGCAACCCTCTCCTCCAGCCTGGTGTAAATTACAGAATCCCAGAATATTTAGGGTTGGGAAAGGCCTCTAAGATCATCCAACCATGGATCAACCACCACCACATCAACTAAAGCACAGCACTGGGTGTCAGGTTGTTCCCTCACCCACCTGCCCGGCCCTCCTGGATCCTCACACGGTGACATCTGGGGTGGGTGGCCCAGGTAACAGCAGTGCACTTACCCCCACTAGTCCCAGCTGCAGATGTGGCCATTTATTCCCAAAAAAGGACTTTTCAAGGTAAATATTATCTCTGGCTTTTCCAATAACTGCATTTATTGCACCATATGTCAACACCTCAACTGGCAAACAAAACTCTGCCCCATCTTGCATCCGGATCCCTGGCAAAGCCCTTCCCAAAGCAAGTCTGACATGGAAAAGCTTTGCTGGTAGGGCTGTCCCAGTGAGCTTTTATGGCCTACACACAGCCCAGCAGCCCAGTGTCCACATCAGGGCTCTGCTGCTGCAGAGAACATCACAAGGAATAACTCCCTGGCTATCCCAGCTCTCCTGGGAATGTTCTTCAGTGGGAATTGGTTCTTTCAGCACAACAAGGCACAACAGGACCAGGATTCATGGTGTCATTTCAGAGGTAACAGCAGGAGTAAACACAGGAGTGAAGTGTAGTAAATGCATTTTTACCTAAAATAATTCTATGATTCAAATGCAGCAAGGTCTTTGCAGCCTGAAAAAGCTCACGCGCAGCAATGCCCATACAAAACATTCCTTTTCCTCCCCTTCCAAACATTTCCCTGCTCCTCCATCAATGACTTTGTCCCATCAAAGATTTCAAATCCAAGCTGAAAAATCCGACTATGAATGTCACGTACTTGCAGAAAAACTTTCTGACATGACAACCCAGCAGCTCCCCAGGCAGCCAGGAGTGATAACAATTCACTGGCAGCTCAGTGCAATGATTACATCAACCTGCTGTTAGGGATTCCTTGGCTTGTTTTCCCTCCAGAGAGAAGACAGTTATGAAAAGCAACACGAGAAGTACAGGGAGAGCTCTGTCAGAGCAGGGGGGATTGATTCAAACCAGCTCCCATCAAAGCAATTTTCACCTACAGGATCCAAAGGGGCTGGAGTCACACTGGAGGAACAGCCAGACCGCTGGGTACCAGCACCTCATTTCACACTGCCCTCGAAGCACAAACGGGCAAGGAGAACAACATTCTGAACAACATTCTGAACAACATTCTGAATCCCAGAATCAAGGCTGGAAAAACTCCCAAGACCATCGAGTTCAACCTGTGACCAATCCCCACCTCGTCACCCAGCCCAGAGCACTGAGTGCCACCTCCAGGTGTTCCTTGGACACCTCCAGGGATGGAAACTCCAAACTGCCTTGAGCAGTTCCTTCCAATGAAGAAATTCCTCCTGATATCCACCCCGAGTCCCCCCTGAGCTGTTCCCTCTCCTCCTGTCCCTGTTCCTGGAGCAGAGCCCGACCCCCCGGCTGTCCCCTCCTGTCAGGAGCTGTGCAGAGCCACAAGGTCCCCCCTGATCCCCCTTTTCTCCAGGCTGAGCCCCTTCCCAGCTCCCTCAGCTGCCTCTGGGAGACAAATGTCTCTTCTGACCTGGCAGGAATGTGGTGCCAGGCTGGCTCATGAAGGACCACCAGGACCCTGGGGTGACAAGTCCAGTGTGCCTGGACCAGCTCCAAGCACAGGCAGCTCCCTTCAAAGGCCAGAAGGGAGGAGACCCAGCACCACCCAGCTCACCAGAACAGCTCTTCCCAAAACCCACCCAAATTCTCTTTTCATTTCCATTGGGAAAATAAAAAATATCTCCCCCTTTTTCTACCCTTTTAAAATGCATTTTTTAGTCCATCTTAATCATGGAATCACAGAATATCCTGAGCTGGAGAAGACTACCAGGATCATCCAGTTCAACTCCTGGCCCTGCCCAGACACCCCAACAACCCCACACTCCTGGAGCTCTGGCAGCCTCGGGGCCGTGCCCATTCCCTGGGGAGCCTGGGCAGTGCCAGCACCTCTGGGGAAAGAACCTTCCCTGGTATTTAATAACTCCTTCCCACTGCATTGTTCTGAAAGATTTGGGTACAATTCCTGCCCAAACAGCATTGGCAGCTCTAGATTCTAAAAGTGATGCATTCCAGTATCTCAAAGAACCTTATTTTTCCCTAAACTTCCTGGGTTTTGGTGCCCATCTGAGATTTAAAGATGTTTCCAGCAAACTGAAAGCCTTCTCAGGCCTGGTCAGTACATGTGAAGCATCCAATCCAACCCCTGGCTGGACACAGGGTCAGTGCTGGACTCACACCAGGCTCTGCCCAGGGGTGTCTCAAAGGCCTCCTGGAGCATCTGACCCCTCCAGCCTCAGACTACCCATCAATTAAGAAGGGGACAGTTCCTCTGATGCCCCTGATTTCCAGCTGAAAGCCACAAATGTTGGACACAAAGAATGTCTGCTGATGTACTGGAAAGTCCCTCCAAACCCTGAGTGGTCACTCTGCCCTGGGAATGAGCTCTGGCCATTTCTCCTGATGAGACACTGCACTAAGAGATCCATTCCCCCTAATTCCAGGCAGCCCAGCCTGGGATTGCCTCCCATGTGGGCTCTGCTGGCTCACAGACTCCAGAGAGAGCTCCAGAACATCCAAGAATTGCTCCCCGGTGCAGGAGCACACAGAGACACAAACCTCACCAGCAGGACTGAGGGCTCTCCAAGCAGGATCCAAAGTTATCACCTCCACCTGCTCCCTCTCACACCACCCAGACCTCCCTGGGTACAGAAAGAGGCACAAGGGTTTGTTTTTGATAGCAAAAACTCTGGGAGAAGATAAAGTGCTCCTTTTTTCACTGTTTTATTTAGCCATTTGAAAAGCTGTGGGCAGAGGGAGCCACAGCTATGCCTTTATTCTTTCAATTCTTGTTTCTCTTTCTGCATTCAGGGTCTTTAAAAGGCCATTTAAGCAATTATTGCAGCAAAGTCAGTGCCAGGAAAATAAATGCAAAGCAACAAAAAGTAAGCTCTCTAACCACAGCTGGAAGTTTCTAGACCTCAGCTTTAGGCACCTGGCAATGAAGCCTTCAAGATTTGTTGATGTGTTCTCCCACCACAGCAGTCAAATAACTTCAGTGGCTGACTGTGAGATAAACTGAGTAAGCAAAGGGCAAGAATTGCTCCACCTGCCATGAAAGGAACCAAAACAATGTGAATTAGAGCACTGCCCAAGGGAAAAAGTAACTGCATTACCCCAAAAAGCATCATGGGCTTTATGAAAAATCCATGGAGCTAAAATTAAAATCACACACACACACTTATTTCCCTTTTTGTGAAATGCAACCTGATTGACTGTGGAAGTGGGACCAGCCTTCCAAACCTTGTGTCATCAGAGGTTTGAAGAAACAGAGATATGGAACTTCACAGCAGAGGCCAAGGACTGAGCAAGAAGAGAAACCATGCTTCCCTCCAGCCTCCAACAAGCCTGTGACACTGCAAGCAGAACCCTCCCTTTCTCTGGGGTAAAACCCCTCCATTCTCCCATTGCCTCTTCTGGCAGCACTAAACAAACCCCTGAACAGTTTGGAATGGCATTGTTCCCTACACACAGAGCTCCTGCACAGCTCTGGGCTCCTGCAAGAGGCTCCAGCCCATCATCCCCATTTCAAACACAAATTGAAGTGCTGCCCATGGAGAAGCAGTTTATGCCAAGAGCTGCATCACAATTTGTATGGCAACTCAAGTGAGCTGGTTGGATTTTCCCAACCAAGACACCTGATCTGGTACCAGGAAAACAGGAATTGCCATCCCAGGCTCACCAAGGGCACCTGCACAGCACTGCTGAATAGGCACAACTCAACATATTTCACACCCTGGCTGAACTCTGGCCTGCAGACAGGGATGGGAACACAAACCAGAGCCAGCAGGAGCCTCCCAATGACAATACTGAATCAAACAGCCCCCAGAAGCTCTTCAACAGCTCCAGACACCTAAAGAAACACTTCTTCCTGACGTGACCTTTTCATCCCCCCTCTTTCATTCCCCAAAAAAAGCTTCACTGAAAACCTGCTAAAATCCTCGTTTCAAATACACCTCGTGGCAGTGAGTTCTACCCTTGAAAATGCTGTTCAGCAGCTTTTCTACTCCTGTGCAAGGGAGTAGAAAAGTGCAAGGGAATTATAAAACCAAAGTTTTTATTTCTCTAAAACTTTGTGACTTTACAGCATTCATCCCTTCTAAGTAGGTCAAAACAACGTTTTGTCCACATTCAGTTTTCTCTCCAACTCACTCACTGCTTTTTAATCTATAACCATCCTTTCTTTAATTAAAAAGAAATAAAAGGTAGGAAGTTCTAGCCTGCATCCATGAAGTGTAACCTTATTAATTAGAAGCATCCCAGTCTTTTCGAAGTTCCTTTAGGCATCCCCCATGCCAGATGCAGCAGAAAAAGCTTCTCCCATGGACCCCACCACTGCCTGAATGCCCTTCTGAGCTTGGATTCATTTAAAACCTGGGTGACATGCCCAAGAGATTTACTGCTGTATTTGAAGTTGATACCAAGTTGGCAAAACTTCAGTAAATACATATTATTTAGGGGCTGGGTACATTTTAGCAACACAAGGAATTTAAGACTCAGGAAGTTGGGCTATCCCTGTGACTCCACGTGGCAAAGAACACCCAATAATAAATGTAAATCCCTGCTCAGATTTAACAACTCCCTGAGAGCACTGCAGAGCTCCCAGCCCTCCCCAGGCTCAGGCAGAAGGGTCAAGCTCAAGTTTTCATCTCAGAACACCACAGTCATTCAAAATGGAATTAAAATTCCCCCAAAGAAAACAGACTCTGATGAAAGTAGGGGAGAAGCTAAGTCAGGGTGAGACCACCTCATCTAATTTTAGGTGTCT